ATGTTAGAATAGGATTTGTTGTGCAGTTGTAGCTAGTATAAAAATACTGGCAGTTTGCCTGTCAGTTTACATTCACTGTGATTTAGTCTCCAAGGGCTTTGTCGAACCTGTAGAGGGCTGTCAGATGACCTAAAGCTTCCTTTGTTGGTGAACATTAGCCCAAAGAAGCTCATTGCGTTTCTACTCAAACATCGCAGAAACGGCACCGAACAAAGTTTAATTTTTGTAATATAATAAGAGCTTTGTGCATCGTTGATACGATTAATTTTGTTAACTTGTTAGCTAACTAGCCATTGTGTCTTGTTTTGTAGCTGTGGGATAAATTAACATTAGCAGTGGTTGTTAGTTAAAGGGAACATATTCCGATTTTCAAGCAGCTTTGTGTCATTACAACGTGGGTGGTATATGCAAATGAACAGCGTTTAAATGTTATATATACGAAACAATGGGACAGAAATGTCATTAAACTCACCCAAACTCTTTTCGTTGGTCTTTCCACTGTTCCAACCATCACAAAGGCTGGTTTGGTCTAAATCATTCCTAAATACGCCGAGGTAGATGAGAAAATACTAGTTACAGTCGCTCTACTCAGCTGCACACGGAGCAGACCGGCAATCTAAACAAACCACCCATATCTTTACACATGAAATAATTGTTTGCTGCTATAATAATGTTTTAAATCTGTTTAACTTCCCAGATGTTACCCGCACCGATAGCCCCCTGCTCATTTGGCAGACTTCCGTCTCTCTCGATCCCACTGCCTGTGGCTCTGGGGCTGTTGTTCAAACTGCAGATTGTACTTTAACTTTAACATCAGCATTTGTTGCTCGGTCAAATAGGCCTGTTCTGGCACAACTACTTATACTACTGTTAAAGTAGTGTCCTAGTTACCCATAAATTGCTTGTACATTTAGAAACAGTTTGAGCAATTTACTTTTTTCAGTATAATTACACTCACTAAGGATGCCTGAGAACCTGCATTGTCATAAATAAACACAGTGGATTGGTAGTAAAGAGGAAAAAATACAAGAAAAATTTATTGGTAATCAGACAAGGACATAACACAGGAACAACGGCTGAAAGAACATCACATCATACTCTCACAGTAGGAATGTCTTACTTGTTCTATGTCATACAGGACAAATCTCGTTCAAACCACCATGTAGTCTTTTAAAGGGGCACTCCACCAATTTTACACATAAAGGTCAGTTTGCTCTTCATGGTTCCAACTACTCAGCCTGTGAAAGCTCCTCGAGAGCCACAGACAACAGCATGCTGTGTGGCTCTGGAGGAGCTTTGTTAAATCTGAGAAAATAACCCTGATGATGTCATCAGCTTTATGAAAGTACAATGCTTAATCACTGGATTACCACGTGCAGATATTGTTTCACTTGGCTCAAATAGGCACTGAGGGGAGAATGACAGTTAAGCGTGGATAAGAGCATAAAGCAAGAGTTTAATTGTTGAGAGAAGGTCCCACATGTTAATACAAAAAAGCATATTTTTACAACAACAGTTATACCATTTACAAATAGAAACTTCCTTCACCTCTGAAATGACATTAATCCTACCTGACAGAGATTAGGGATGGTTAAGATTCAACAATTTGCATCGGTGTGCCGGCTCCAACTGTTCAAGATGCGATCGCCCTGATTAAGAAAGTGTGCACTGGATACAATTTGGGATTACATTTTTTTCGTTTGTATCTTAGCATTGTTAAAAAACAATTTATTCATATATAATTAGCAGTGAACTCCCTATGACTTTATTATTTCGAAATAAATTATATTTAGATTGAGTCCTCCTCACTAAACTGTTTCTCAAGCAGACTAAGAAGAACCAAAGAAATAAAATAAACTATGTGTACCATATTGAATTACAGAAGAATATATTTATCTAATTGTATCACGTTGAATTGCATTGTGTTGAATCAAATCATGTTGCTTCACATGTTTAATGTAATGGACCACTGGCAATGCATGGAGATGTGTATCGGCCTCCGTGATGGAGATGAACATCCCTAATAGAGATGGTTACTTTGCCATACAATAGAACAAAGTATTGCAGGGAAATAACATAAATAAAATCAGCTCCATGATAACATTAGCTGTAATTACAGTTGATTTGTGACATTACCACAAAGCTGTGTGAGGGGATTCATTTTCAGTTCATTGCATTTTGGATAAAAACTATAATTCTTATTAACTGGTGTGCTTTAGTGGCTGGGTCATTTCTTAAATATATATCATTCAGCACAAGCAACATGTTAAAATAGTCCTATATATGCAGTATTCTTTGTTTATGGATGAAATACTTTGCTCTTTATTCACTTACGTTACTCCCTTTTGCTACAAGCCAATTAAAGAAATGGTTTGCTGTGTATGTCATAGTTGCTTTAATTAGAGAATCTTTATCTCTCCAGTTAAATGTCATCCTCTGTTCCATGCTTTTCTTCTTTCACACCCCCAACCCTCCCCCCTCCCCACACACACACAGGGTAGACTGTTTGTTTTGTGGCTGTATTCTCTAGATGACAATTGGACACCGTGGGCGGCTATTATTATTTTCTACAGGTACTAAAAAATATGTGCGTGTGCCACAGGTGCGTGTTTTCCAAACACTCATGTGAGACACAGCAGTGCACTAAGTCTGTCCTCTGCCTGCTCAACTAAAACACACAAATTACTGGTTTATAGCGAGACCTACTGATTTCACATATAGCTTTCTGCTCTGCAGATACCACTCAATTACTCCATGAGGAGAAATTAATTTGTATATGCCTTTGTCCTTAGATTGTGTGTATGGCTAAAGACTTACCGAGCTGAGCTGGGTGCCTGTGTGGCTTTTGAATGGAAAAAACAACAAAAAATCACAAGAAAGACATTTTTGTCAAATGTGATTGCAGTATAACTTAACCAAATTAAATGAGATGTGTACTGTCATTTAAACAGGACAGAAATAGGACATTTTCTTGTGTTTTGGGAAAAAATAAGATAAATCTGTCTTTGTTGACGACAGGTGGACATGCAGTCCAGCAGATCATTTCGGGACATAGTCTAGATATAGGCTGAATTTTAATGCCACCTGGCAAAGGTCCATTATATTGTTTTCTAATCCTCAGAGTGTACTGCATTCACCAGTCCCCAAACAGAGAGGAGGAAATCATAATTGATGGCAACAGTTCTCCACTTGGTAGTCTGGGAATTGGCTGCAAGCATTACTGTCAGTGCACAAGCATTTAATCTAACGCCTTCAGGATGAGTGACTTAATATGAGTATAATTTTATTAGCTGAGTAAAGAGACGACCGGACGTGTTTCTTTACACATCTAGCAGACCTGTTTCTGTGAACTCTCGCCAGGCAGCAATAAAGACCTGCAACACCCACGCCGTCCACCTCAAATGCATCACACAAACTGTTGGACTTTCTCAAGTTCATAAAAACACAAACAGCCCTGTGCTTGTTCTCACTTTCACACACAAACACACACACACACAAAGTTGTTAGTGTAATTAACCAGCATGACTGAGGAGAGATTGGAGGTCAGCAAGGTCGGCCGGGTCTCATCGGGAGTGTTCAAGCCTCGGTGATACTGTAATTTAAATCATGCACACACGCACACAGAGAAGCAACTACTTTGATGGTTGGTCACAGGCTAATTAGCCGTCTAGTGCAAGGTAGCAAAGTTAACAAGCACAAGTTTGTTACTCTTTTTTACACAAACTTGTTACAGTATACATACAGTGTCATATAAGTAATAAAGTCATGTTAATTAATAAATGTTTTCTGCCTTCTTGACTTGTGCTTAAGCTTTTTAATTACTTGTTAGTTACTTATTATGCACTATTTTATCATGTCATAGATAAACATTTTAGTGGTTTTATCATAAATATAATTATTATATATAATTAGGTTTTAGAAGTAAAACCTGGCCATAGTTAACCAAAGGGTACATAGTCTGGCTTCAAGAAGTTTTTAAGAGGTAAAAACACAATGTACAAACAATACAGTACATGTGCCCATTATTTGTAGCTTCAAATGATTTTAATCTTAAAATGAATGATCTATAATATATAAAGGTATTTTTAATGGATTATATCACAGTTTGAAGGGGTAAAAACACCTTAAAATGTACATAACATTATATGAACCCCTAGTTTGTAACTTAAAAAGACCTTCATTTTTTAATTTAGACAAAAATGCAGGGGTTCCTAATCCAAAATATTGGGTATTTTTAAAGGAGTTCAAGGCCATTTGATAGTATAAATTTAGGGAGGGTAAGTAGAGTGTTAACCCTTTAACAGTGACAGTAATAGTAAAAACCCCATTTAAAGTACACATGTTGCATCATTATAATGGATGGGGGGGGGTTGCATCACTGAAATCGTGTTTTGTTAGGCAGGTCGAATTGAGATGAAGATTAGGAGATCTGGGAACACACGGACAAACACACACATACACACACACACACACCACGCAGCTGATTTGACACACAAACACACAGCTGGTCAGATAAACCCAAAAATGTGATCAGTGGGCTAGCACTTGACGTCACGGGGGTGTGTCACAGGATTATTTAATGTTTGGCGAATGTGATGCAGCAGTTTAACTTGTGGTGTTGCATAACATGCCGTGTCAAGGGAACTAGGACGTAACAAAGTCATGTTGTCAATTTGTCAACTTCTTGTAGGGAACTGCCTTATGTTATTTTTCCATTGTTAGCTTGGTGATTTAATTTGTGCTCTATTTCCATGTATTGCAGCTGGCTAATAATAGCATCTTAACCAGCTTGCTTTTAGTGAGCTCTTAATTCTACTTTAAACTGCAGCCTTGCTTTAGGAATCCTACTTTTTAATCACTCATGTTTTTTTTTTGTTGGTTCCGGTGACGTGCGGCTGTTTGCTGACCAACTGCATTTCGCTTCTCATTTGTCACAGGAGGTCATCCTCCTCCCGGCTTAATTGTTGCTGACCTCTTATGTTTTTATCTCTGATTGACAGGTGTGAAAAGCGGCCTGGCTAGTGCTGTAGTCACCGTTGTTGTCAAGGAAACCAAGAGTCCTGTCCCGTTGCCATGGGGAAACAGAACAGCAAGCTGCGGCCAGAGATGCTGCAGGACCTCCGGGAGAACACTGAGTTCTCCGACCATGAGCTGCAGGAGTGGTACAAGGTATACAGACACACACTATACACACGGTCTGGACATTTTTGGGTGCTACCAAGTCATAAAGATGGTACTACTACAAATTCAGTAGTGAAAAGTAACTAATTACATAGTATTTGCATTTTGTAATACTTTATACATCTATACCGCTACAATTCAGAAGGACATATTGTATTTTTAGATTTTTCATTTAGCAGCAATAGTTAATAGTTACATAGTTACTGTAGATTCAAAAGTAGCTATATGATCGTCTTATAAAATATGATACACTGTAATATACTAACAACCCAACAGTTTATAAAGTAGTCCACCTTAACCTAGCTTCTTACACATTATTGCATCAGTAAAATTATCTAACTATAAAATATATAGCATTATGTAAGACTGAGTATGATAGTTAAGTACATTTTACTTAATACTACTAATTTATGGACTTTCTGCTGTAACTAATAGGTACATTGTGGTATTGCTAATTTTACTTAAACCTGCATTCATTGATTTTATGTCAGCTTAATAAGCTGTCAGCACGGCACTGACAGACACTCAATTCATGAAGTTGTTGTGGTGAAACCAAGCCCCCAGGAAAAGCACCAGGCTCTGAAGCATAGAGGCCATAGTGTAATTCCAGCAATGGTGTCCATCACTTGATGCACGAAACACTGTGAAAGAGGTGCTCACAACCCTCCCAGAATGACTCATTTCACTATCAGAATTTGATTCATTCAGTCCAATAACATTTGGAAAGTCTAGAAGAGCTGGACAATTAAATCATTTAATCCCCAATCAAGGTAGCGGAGGGCTAAACTGGAAGTTAGGCCACGCTCGGCCAGTGGAAGTCTCTAGAGTGCTTGCCCCACAATGCGGAAGCTCTGAGTAATTTTATACCAGAAAATCAAACTTTTTTGGTTTAATGCACCACTGAGCTGCTTTCATAAGAATAAATGGGCCCCCGCCTCCAACACTGTATCCACTTCCCATTTAATGCATACAGGGGTGAACCTGCTAGCATACAGTCACCCATTTACACATCTAGCAGACATGAAGTAACATAAGAAACAGTTGCCTCAGGTAAAGATGTTGATGGTAGCCTTGAGGGTGAACCAAAACATGATAGTTGCAGGCTGTAAAGAACAGTCCGCAATTCCTTGTGGGTTTGTCACCAGGAGGAACTCCCTCCACATTACACATACTCATTTGATACATTAATAATATAAAAAATATTTAAATCTGCAGCTTTAAGGAAAAAGATAGAAATACTATAGGAGTCAGTTTTTCCTTTAACTGTCTTCCTTTAACCTTTTGATATTAAAGTTGAGTTAATTTAAAATGATGATAATGTTAATGCGTTTGTGTTATCTGAGTTTAAAAGTCAACAGTATGCTTGTGTGTTGTTAAAAATGTACACCTGTCTCAGATAATTTAACACTTCAGTTACCACTGAGCTCAGAGAAACAGCACTTTGACACCTGTCAACACAGATTTATATTTAGTAATAACTGAAAATGTTATCTATAATGAAGTAATTCCAAGCTGTATTAACACACCACATCCAAGTAGAATTTCTTCCACTGTAGAGTCATGTTTCAATAGTAACCAGTAACACTGACAGCATCCTTAAATGTTTGTCT